GGCCGGGCAGGCTAATCCTTTGGACCTCTGCGAATGAACTACCGGTGGCCGAACACCTTAAGATAATGCCGCACTGTTTGTACATATTGGGCAATTACTCCATTTTGAATATATAAAGGCTGAAGCGAAGTGCCGACATAGCTAATTCTAATGGATGATTAAAACATCTCTATCTTGTAGCTCCTACGTAATTTGTCAGCGACAGTTCCCTTACCATTTTAGAGCCATGCCAGACAGAGGAATGGCGGTAATCACAATTGAGTTGGTTGCAAACACGAGGTTAATCTCATATAGGCAACGGAAGCACGTGACCTTGGCTTGCGAGAAGCGCATAACGAAGCCTACTGAAGTTCAACAGTTTTGTCCACCTCCGCCAACTATACGGCAGAAATAAGCAGCGACGCTTGCACCCCGTCCGACTAGTGAATGATCGCGCGTTTCTCACGTACTCATCTTGTTCTCTTTTCTGGTAGCGTTTATTAAACCCCGACGAATTATGCGCACCATTATCCATCGCAGCAGTGTGCTAGTGCAATCAATCCCTATACATTATACATCTATTAACATGAAGTAGATTTCATGGGCTTAGAAATCAACGAAATAGATGTTCAAAATGACCACCGTCGTTTCATTTGAAGAGCAGTATTTGAAGGATGCCATTGGTTTGCATTTTCTGCAAAGCGGTAGCTTAATATCGCGGAGGTACACTCAATCAAGTTTACAGATGAAGCAATTTTCCTTCTGCATGGCGCCGATAAGCGCCATATTTTGGGCTACAAATAACATACGAAAATGCATCGCTTCGCGGGTGCAACGTTATGCACAGCTCATGACATGGGCTGGGTTGACAGGGCGAAAAATGGTTGGACCATTTTCCGTTTCCAATAATGTGACTGGTAACTAGATTTTTGTAACGGAACTAATGCTTCACATTTCTTAGCATCCTCGTACAAAGAAACGTTGCAGTCCAGGGTCATTTCACAGCTGAAGTCCGAAGGCTTATTGAGTAACGTTTGTGGAAGCCGGATGGTGCGTCTTCCCATTCTGCACAAACGGTACGTGATTACCTTAACGAAACTCTCTGTAATCGATGGATCGGTCGTGGAGCACCTATTGATTGGCCTGCGCGGTTTGATTTAAACCCACTGGATTTCTTTTTATGGGAGTACTTGAAACGCAAAGTGTATAAAACCAGGCCAACCTGTCAGGAGGAATTGAAACAGAACCTAGTAAACAAAAGCCGCCGTATATCGGTGGACACTTTGCAGAAAATGTTAGCGAATAGCATCCGGCGAGAACTGCTCTGTAAGTAAAACGACGGTGATCAGTTTGAACATCTACTTCGTTGACTTTTATGACGGGTATGTTAATTTATTAACAGAACTGACACTTCACATTTGTTAGCATCTTCCTACAAAGAAATCTCGCATACCTGTGTCATTCCGCAGCTGCGGGCTGAAGGAAGTGAAACTGAGCATCGTCAACAAATGTCACGGTATATTGGTGGACAATTTGCCGCATGAATTTTTGGAGCGATCACCAACGCATCGCCAACGTACCGCTTCTACATGCACATATGATCAATGTGTAGTTCACAACGTGATTGGACCAATGCCACGAAGATATCTGTTAGCGTAGGGTAGAGTGAACTTTCCATAGCAACGACGTACACCTGTCGGTAAGACCCACCTTCGAACACGAAGTTAACATTCCCGGTGCATAATAAAATAAATTATTCAGGTTTTCCACGGTTATCGGTAAAGCCACTTTTATTGCCATCACGAAACCACATAAGTCTTCCACCGTCTGCTTTAACGGGACGTTGATAATTAGTGATTGAACATCAAGAGAGGACATTAACTTATCAGCAATATTCATGCTTTATACGTGTTCGATTAATTCGAAAATGTCTTTCACGGTCCGTTAAACCATAAAATGCTTTACTGGTGCAACTATTTCAACTAAGCACAGAGCCAATTTGTGATACCGAGAGTTAATCATGGACAGTATAGGCCGAAGAGGAGTTTCCACCTTGTGAAATTTGGTAGGCCGTACATTTGAGGGGTGCAAATACCCCATGATTTAAGTGCATAGTACGTTTTATCCGTCTTTATTTCGTATTGCAGCAACATTATCCATTTGCTGGTCACCAGCTTTTTAATTTGGACTACATCGATTCCTCTAGTATTCTTCTGAAACTTGCGTTTATCACTTAAAATTCCATCCCTCTTCTTTAACTAGTCAGACTTATCCGTGATGACAACTCCAGTGCCCTTGTGCTGTTTTAGAATCATCTAATTCGTAGATTTCTGATTTAGTTCCTTAATGTGGTGTTTAGTTAGGCGAAAAATTTGGGGAAACGGTACCTTCATGAAACCGTTTGCGATGTCAACGAGCTTCACCTTTAACCAATTGTTATCTTCCTGAGTCGTTGGATTAATTTCAACAATGGTTCAACCAAGTTTTCATATTGGGATTCTACATGGACTCGGTCAACTTTCTTAGGTGAGACTTTGGTGTTCAGACCCAAGGATAGGGCTTCCATTTGCATCTTGTTCAGATACACAGTGGACAAGTTATACACATGCTTCGGTAAATTATCATTATAAATGGTCTCCGTCACAGCGTTTGTGAGAGAACTCTGTTGTTTCTTCAGCAGTTCCCTCATCGTTCTGTCAACGACAGTTATACAGAAGTGAGTGAATTTAATCCGACAGATTAACGAGAGTTGCTAGGTGATCGCGACATGTCGTTCATATATCTCAATCAGTTTTACAAGCGTTTTAGTAACCTTCTCCAGATATGAGTTAGCAAGCCGTTTCAAGTTCGTGTTAGTAGGCCTCAGATTATTACGGCGCAGACACTTGCAGAATTGGTGTGGGTACCGAGCGTCACGTTAGCAACCAGAGAGAAGACGAATAAGTAATTACGCTTTGCTAATCTTGAATTTAACCTTCATGAGGCCATCAAGGACTTTTTAAGTTGGCAAGCATAGCATTTAAAGCCAACCTAGAGTTGTGCGGACGGCGCGTGAACGGAGGCATTTTGAACACGTTTCGAACACCAGCAGGAATTTTACGAGAGACAAACCCTGAACATTCATTCTTTCAGTCAGTGCACGGGCACCTATCTTTGCTTTTAAAATACATCGAGTGCTATTTCCAAACCAAAAAAATCCTACGAACTTGTAAGCAAAGGATCCGCGACCAATCTGTCAACAAACTAAGCAAATCTAGCATGTCTGTGCAAGAAGAAAATCTGCTGTTGGAGATGGTAAAAGACCGTGGCCTTAAAACTACCTTCGAGACAACAAGTCTGTCGGTATGCTGGTTTGAATGCATGGTGGAGTATCCTCAGCTTGCCACCATATCACCTAAATCCCTACTGCGGGAACAGCAACCAAAACAAACAGCAACGGAATAAAGTGAACACAAGCAACACACTTCGGATGTCATGTTCTTCTATTACCCCCAGCTGGAATAGTCTCGTTACAGAGAAACAAACTCAGTGTTCTCACTGATTTAGCGTTCTAGTGAGTTAGCATGTTAAATTCCTTTATGTTTATTTCCGGTATAACTGTATTTTATTTTAAGGCCTGTTTAAATATAATTAAATTAATAGTATGAAAAACGAGCTAAAATGTGAACCATTACCTTCCTCACGTTGCGGGTCGTGGTAAAATTATCAAACGCTAAGCGGTCTGCGAAGATATAAGGGTTAGGAACCACTGTTGTAAAGGATAGATCAGGTCCATCCTTGTAAAATAATAGAACAACTTACTTGTTGACTATTAATTCTAGGACATCAGAGGCAACAAATGTGTGATTTGCCAACCGGTAACTTGACATTCATTTCGTGCACCACTTGGTGTTTTGTCATTATAATGGATTACCTCCACTGGTATGAGAAGCAGCCTGTAGTTAGTGAAAGGTTGAAGACCTTGGCTAACAACAGAGAGGCATTTTTCTACAGAGCCTTATGACACCAGGAAGGGGATGCCATCTGAGCCCTTACCGGTTGATGGCTTTATGTTCGCCATGCCGTTTTGCAGCTTTCTCTATGTCACCCGGATATTGCGCATTAGCTAGTTTGTTCTTCTTTTGAGTAGGGGTGAAACAGTTTGGCGTCAATCACAAGGCAGGAGTCAAAGCTAGGAAACGAATAACTCGCATATATAGCAAATGTCGCGCGTTAATGAACCAGTGTCTCACGTCAGCGCACAAATTTCTTGATTAGTTTTATGTGTACTTCTTTTGATTAGCTGAAATGGTGTGCGCACATTGTTTGCCACTGATATAGACCATTACTGCCTGAAGCATCGCTATCTGACTCACTCTGCCGTGGTTTCATCGTTTCGGCTAAGTGTTCATCTAAAGTATACATGTGTACTCCCAACATCACCGAGAATACATTCCAACTTTTTCACCTACATGTGTTTAAAAGGGATGCGACATCGTCTTTACACACGCGTCTCATTTGTCGTCAATCCTTATGGATTTACAGTGTATTTACAGTATTTATACTAGTTACAGTACGCATACAACGGTGGGTGCACGGGTGTGGACTTACTTTTGCAATATTCAGCTTGACCATCCTACGGACCTGTTATTATTTAGCTTGTTTACCCACACTAAACCGCTGCTCTATTGTACCACTAACAGTAAGCACGCACCTTTCGGCTCGCTCATCGATCTACCTGAAGTATGCGTCCTGGTTATCAATGTGTTCTTTACAAGTGAAGGTTACACATACCATGTTTACTAACCATTCATTATGTACGCTCTATCTCCAATCATCTCATTGCTTGATGCCTGGGTAGTTGGCTCATTCGTGACAACATTTAATTGCGCTTCCATTTGAGCCCCGTGACTGTTGTGTTCAAATGGTCCCGTTGACATCGCGGCTTTGTGGGTCACGTGGTGCGTATTCGTACCGCCACCTGTGGCACCACGGTACTTAGTCATCCACTGAGGATGACGGACCGCACTTCAGCGCGCCATGCTTTACTAAGAGAGGTAACATCAGTGAGCTTTGACGCCGTGACGAGTTGTGCTTATTAGCCTTCAATGGAGTGACGTAGAAAGACGGAGGCCACCAGCGGAATACCATTAGGTTGTTTCAGAGCATTACCTTCCCAGTGTCTATAATTCCCGAACCGTCCAAGTGGAATGGATCCTGAAGAGCATGCCAAGCTGCTTTGTGAGCTGGAATCAGTGTTCAGCGATCCCGAAATCAAAGAGAAAGTTGGAAGTGACATCTTGAGGAGGTGAGTTGGATGTATAATTACCGCATTGAAAACTTTGTCCATGTTTTGTATTTCGCTGATTGGAATTAAAATAACCAACTTCTGAAAATTGCTTCCTCTTTTGTAGACTGGCATGTACCATGAACCACTAAACTAGTTATTGAAAATAACTATTGCTATTTTTGATTTTATTCACTCGATCTAATGATTTGGTGGGATTGAGGATGACTCTGCACATTTTGGGCACTATTTTACGCAAAACGAGGAGACATAGGTTAAACCGAACTGTCGGAAAGTTAACTTTTCATTCCAGTCTTCCTCCTCAAATTACCGGATGGTTGTTTCTGTGGATAACACTGAGTTAGGCCATGGATAACTCGGAATTGGGTTTTCCCATTTCAATATGCGCTGCTTTTAGCTGTGGAGTCGCTGCATCGTTTTCGTTGCCAGAATCACTCCTCACTAACGCACAGTCTCAAACAGATAATCTTCCGTAGGATTTGTGATGCTGGTGGTTCACTTGGGATGCATTAAATGGGACATTAACTACAAATTTATACACGCGGTTGGGAAACAACTCGGAAATAACTCTTACTATTTTTTATTTCACCATTCTTTGGGAGACTTGGTAGTGATCCGGTATCTCTCGGTAGACATCCGGTCGTATGCCTGAGGCGCTTTGCAGCATAGAAGTAGATGAACTTTATTCAGTTGTATTGGATAAGAAGCTGGGGCTCCTTCTATGTATTTGAACCAAACGACTGGAATGTTTCTCGTAAGTAGCAGGATTTAGTTGTACTTTTTGTTACTCGTAAGTAACAGGATTGTTTGCGCCTGGCCATCTAAATGGACGATAAACGGTGAAACTCTCTAAGGAATAGACACATTTTGGGGTGAACTACAATTTTCTAGGGCATTTGCCAGTAAACCGGTAAACAGGTCCCACGCATTTCCTTCAACGCATCACCCTGCACAATTCGTAGCTGTAAACATATGTGCGCTTCAGTGAAACTCGACATCTTTTGGTACATTGGGTGAGCGCAATTCATCTGATTAGAATAAACCTAGCTTTATCGAGTCCCAGCAAATGTAGGTGATCAATCAAATGCAAATGTTTAATTAGAGTCAGTGAAATGCGATTCAATTCAAGTTTGGATTCCGTGGATTGTAGATGCATATACCTAGCCATTTATGCCTTCATTTCACCAGTCCAACTTTGTTCGCTTGCGTAAGAGAAACGAGGCCATTTTGGATCATTGGTTAACCTTTATGGTGATCATCCGTCACTGCTTCGGGAAGATTCCACAGTTCGCATCGTCACCCTATCGGCAGGGACTTTTTATTTTTCCGGTCTGAGTTAACTACAACAAGTAGCTGGGCACTGGGAGAATTCTTTGAATCAACCAGAATGAATATTTGTTGGATAGTGTTTCATTCGTTCACACGCTACCATGTTTTAACAACCAACACTGCCGGTATTTTTCTGCCCGATTAGATAGAGGCTGCTTCATTTGCCTTCGCGCAATCCACCACAACTGTAAACCCCATCCACGTTCTGCATGAAGCCGTTTCCGCAGTCGTTCATTAACGGTGAAGTGTGAGTATCGTGGAGCTGTATTAATGTTGAGCTACTTGGGCACCTGAGACCGGTGGCTGAATCTCTCACGCAGAATGTGAGCGAAGCCAAGAATACATCCGCACCTCAGCCATTGCTCCTCCAAAGTCAGAGGCAAGCACCAAAGCCAGTGCTTTACAAGATCCGTGGGATGGTCAGGATGAGAATCATACAGTGAAAAAAGAAACCAGAGGCAAGATGAAATGTATTTTGGTGGGCTCCTCATAGTGTTCAAGTTGAAACATTAATAAGAGAGCACACCTCGAGTGGGTAGATTGATACCGGTTGTGCGACGTCCTTTGATGTACACAGTCTATAATTCGCAATGTCAAGATGTTTTTGAAACACGGATAAGGCGCGGCAGAAGCAACATAATTAGGCGGTTGCATGGCTAGGGCATGCAGAAAGAGTAAAACTTTTGTCTACATTCTGGCTAAATTGACCTGATGGTTCCTGGGGTTTGTGTTGTTGATAATTTGCTGTAGGTTGCGGTAGACGCGGTTAGGGTGGTAAGTTGATATGGAAGGTGTAACAACCCTTTGGCGCGTTCGGTTCCTCTAAGCTGTGACATCATGAGCGCTGCGAGATTTGTTGTTGATAGGTCCGTAGCAGACAGATGTATCAAACCCACGAAATGCACTCCGCAGCATATTAGTGCAGTGGTTCCCACTCTTCCTAGATTATTCTGAGTAGTCTAGGATTGCCTGCATTAATACACCGGGGTCGCAATGCTGAGTGAGCTCTTATAAGACGTTGTTTCCGAACTTGTACATTAGATTAATTGATGAATTCCCCTGGACCAGATTGTGTAGAAACCATTCAAACGACCTGCCCCGGTTTTGTTGACGAGCATCGTGATCTCCTTGGTTGGGGATCACGTGCTGTTCTTTAACTTCACCAGCATATCGCAAGAAATCTGTTGTAAGGCTGCTGTCGCCACTACACTCTGCTCGCTGTGCTCCAACACAGTCGGGAAAGAAACAAAACAACGAAGCGTGCTAGACCGAAGTATATTCGGCATAGAACAACGATTATTTTATAGGCCATGATCTATCACTTTATGTTGTGATTTCCTGAACTTACTCAACTCACTTCTTTGGACAGATTTCAAACCAGCATGCGGTCCGCGCGGGTCAGCTGTTTTGCCCCTGTCACGTAACAACCGGTCTTTGCTGACGGATTGATTTTATCAGCTTCCCTCGTGACTTAGCTGTGCTACCGTTGGTCGGGTAGCAACCCGTGTTATGATGACGAAATGGTTTCATCAGCTTCCGATTTGACCATGGTAACGAGTATGACAACTACTCATGTGGAGCGGATAATCTCGTTCTGCTAGCGTGCACCAACCTAGTCGGGCTTTTCCTCTCCGTGACAAAATCTTATGCGGTTAGACGCATACGCCGTTACTGAACACTAAGAACAAACGCGACCCGAGCACTGATGCTGTTGTAACTCCACAGTCAACATGAATGGTGTCGGGTAGAGTAATTTGAACTTGAAGCTGCAAGTGCCTCTTTTGTAGGAGATTCCTGATCTTGGGTAGCTCGGGAATGTTGTACAAAAAGCGGACGGGATCCCCGGCTTAGTAGCTTTCGAGCGTGAGAGATAGAATGCGGCAGTCCAGGCAGTCGAATGCTTTTGCGAATTCGAGGTAAATTGAAGTCGGTCCCTATCCCTTGGCCTCTTCCGTTCAAGTATTGCGTGCAATCAGTAGGTTGTTTTTGCATGATCGTTACTGAAGAACACCGTGCTGCTCCGGTACTATGATGTTGCAGCTTGCTAGATAGTCAACCAAAGCCTCAGTGAAGATAGCTTCTATCACATTTGAGAGTAGGCGGAGGAGGAGCACTGGGGGATATTTTGCGGGTTCTGAGCGACTGACACATTAACTGCTTTTGCGTAATTAGACCATCTTCAAATAGTAAGCACCATTTGCGTATCCAATTATGTGTGGAGTAAGGTCGATAATGGCTGGACCAGTATTGTTGGTGCTACGTTCAGGGCCATCGGGTGAATGTCATGGATTCCGGTCATCACAACCAAATCTGCCGAGATATTGTAACTTGGGATGATGCGTATTGTCTCAGGGTGTTCCTCCTGGTATTCAGCGTGACACACAGCTGTAAGGGGTGGAAACATGATCGCTTAGTAGGGTGTCAAACAATTACTTCTCAATCAGTTGTTTACATTATTAAGTATGAGTTCCTGTATCTTGACGGAACCAAGTAGAACCCTAACAAGCGCTCACTAAACAGCGATTAAATGTAGGCCTTATACAAGCTATTCCGCTTCGTTTTATACTGCATTCTGCTGAGAATCGAGGACTTTTGACGTCGCTCTACTTCTTATATCCTAAGAAGTCGAAAAACTTTTCCGAAACTCATAGGTATGAGTTAGTTTTGCGTGTGGATTTCGGCAAATTTGTTGCTATAAATATACAACAAAGCACCCATATAACACACACAAGCTAAATCCAAGTATTGGTCAGTAAAAGTTGACGCTTATCAAACATGGGTTGTATAAGCGTGTGCACGCGAATTTCAACGAGCATTGGAAGAATAATTGCTGTTGGAGCCAGAGTGCAATGGGATCACGGCTGCATGATGGTTTTGAATCATGCTGAACCACCTAACAAATTCTCTCTGACTACCTATTGCCTGAACTACCCAACACTATTCTTCCATTTTACCTCAGTAGACGCGCAGCATTCTATGCCTGCTGGCGTATTGAGTGACCAGAAAACATGCAACCTGATATTGTTTGCCATTGTCGGATGGCACCAGCGTGTCCACAATGATGATGTGCGTAGGCGAGTACTAGGTAATGATAATCATGCTAGCTCCCTAGAACAACAGATAGCACTGAATAACTTGCGTTGGCTCGGGCACGTGCTACGTATGCCTGGTCACCGCTTACCTAGGAGGGCCTTGTTTAGTCTGCCAGGTGTAGGGTGGCGCATGGCTCTTGGGTGACAGAAATTGACTTGGCAGCGGGAAATGAAGTCACTGACGACCAAACTGGGTGCCGTTGGTCCGTCTCGCCTTCCGGGCAGGAGTCCATGTGACTCGCCTTGTGCTTGGCTCGAGACTTTACAGGACATGGCTCGCAAAGCACACCAGGGGCGCGTCTGCTACCGTCTCTTTATCCGATTGCCTGTTTAAAGTGTGTTCGGTGCTGAGTTATCTGCGGGGTAATGGTTGATTATGACGCGTGGCAGTGAAAGCCGCAAGGAAGCTGTCTCGCCGATACCGCCTTATCTTTGCACGATAGCCAGCTGTTGGTGACGGTATGTTGTCTACACAAGGTGTAGGCGCCTTGACCCTGAGTGTTTGCTTAGGGCATTATGGTTTCTAGGCAAGTCCGCCTTCTCTCCCTCTTCTTATTCATTATTTCATAGGTCCTCATT